TCCTTAATTTACTTTAATTGCATGAAAAAAAAATTCTGCTAAACACCTCTTTTCATATTCCACATGAAGTAAATCATACTGGTTTGGACATGTATCATCAACATGAAAACATGACAGATTCATATGTCTTTTGTTTGGGGAGAACAGCATTTTATCACACGAGGAATACTCGTTTCTGATTAGTCGAGCACGGTTTTCAGCGGTCTAATTTCCGCTGTATATCAATCCGCTCATCCGGGTAACTGAAACCGGCGCTCCTTTCATATGTCTCATATCCCTCCGCGGACTCGCGCTCTTTTTATTTCATACGCCATTTTTCGAAATAAATGTATCGCTTACATAATCAGTGCATAGACATGTGTACGTTAAATAATAAACAACTCACCCGTCAAATCTGACAGTCCCTGTCTGTTCGGTGTCCACTTTATAATGGTGCAGAAGCAGCCGGACCACCTTGTCATGTCCGTTCCGAGCAGCAATAATGAGCGGTGTGGACCTCTGTCCGGCCTCCTGGGTCACGTACTCCAGCAGGTATCGGGTCTGGACGCCGGAGTGGTTCAGGAGCAGTGCGGCCAGGGTCAGGACTCGCCCCTCGCTGGCCGCTTTGTGAACATACCGGGCCAGGGACTCCAACCGGGCCAGAGCCGGTACCTCCGCCATCTGTGCAAGATTCGCCCGCTGATCTCAGAGCAGATCAATTCGCCTCCCATTAAAACCCCCTGCCTGAGCTCTGCAGCTCATCTATGCAGCACACGGAGAGTCTCCGCCGGACCAACTGCCATTACAGCCGATCGCTATTCTCTTTCACTTCTAACCGAAGCGAGTTCCCTCGCCCCATTCCTTCACTTTTATGCGTCGGTTTGTTGTGATTTCAGTTCTGGGTCCCTCCGCCGACAATGACCGCCGAACGAATCCTGATGTCGCTGATGAATCCGAATTAAAGCTCAAATCTGCGCTAAGTGTGTTTGTGTTTTTCACCTCTGCCTGAAACGACGCCCGGAAATGAAGTCAGCAATAACAGGAAGTGCGTCACTGGGGTTCTAAGATGCATTTACGAAATAAAAGTCCCATAAAATAATATAAAAAACAATCAATTATTTTAATAATTAATCCCAATAAAATTACATAGAAATACCATGGCAAAACCTGACCGAGGAAACCCGTATTTTCCATATATGGTATAATTTCATACGTAAAATAACTATTAGTGTATAATATGCTATAATATATCATTTATGTGTTTGTTTAGTTGTTCTCCACAATGTCAGAAACCTGGACCAAATAACAAACAATAATCTGGATCTGAAAATATTCATACATCAGATAATATCAGTAATAAACAGAAATTAAATTTTAAAACAATTTTAAAAATCCCAATAATTAATCCCAATAAAATAACGGTAACACTTGACTAAGGTAACCATAGTTTCCATATGATATAATATGATAACATGATTTATTATATCTATTTAAAAATGTATTGATGTGTGTGTGTCTGTGTGTGTGTGTGTGTGTGTGTGTGTGTGTCTGTGTGTGTGTCTGTGTGTGTGTGTGTGTGTGTGTGTGTGTGTGTGTGTGTGTGTGTGTGTGTGTGTGTGT